TATTTATTAAAATTCAATTAATATGGTAAAATATATGCATCTTGGCAAAATAGATTTAATTTGTAGGCTGAGAGGTTTTTCTGTTATGGAAGCTTGATATATAGCAATTATGTACTAAAATTACTTCTCATAAATATTTTCAAACTCCAGTGAAATTTACATTAGTCTTTTTCATACCCATGAATACTGTTTATTTAGCTGGGTATGGTCTAGATAATTAAAGACTTTTCAAGTTGCATATTTAAATTCCATTGAAGTTATTTTTTGTGGGCACTTGCCTGTGTAGATTAAGTTAGAAACCTTGCCACATTAAAGACAAGAATTCTGCAATGCCACGTGTAGGTACAGACCCGAAAGAATTGAATGCAGGAACTTGGGACAGATACTGTACACCCACATCCACAGCAGCATTGTTCACAATAGCCCAAAGGCGAAAACAACTCATGTGTCTGTGGACAGATGGATAAACAAAATGTGATATATACAAAGAAATGTTTATTTAGCTTTAAAAAGAAATGAAGTTCTGATACATGCTACATTGTGAATGAACCTTGAAAACACTATGCTAAGTGAAATAAGCCAGGCACAAAAAGAACAAATATTATATGACTCCACTTATAGGATGTTCCTGTAATAGTCAAATTCACAGGACAGAAAGTAGAATGGCAGTTACCAGGAGCTGGGAGGAGGGAGAATGGGACTTGTTGTTTGCTGTGTTCTGAGTTTCATTTTGGGGAGATGAACAAGTTCTGGAGATGGAGGGTGGTGATGGTGCCCACACAGTGGATGTTCTTAATGCCACTGCTCAGTACACTTACAAGGTTAAAAGAGTACATTTCATGTTACATATTTGTAACCACACAAAAGAGCTATAGGAATCTGTGCAGCTAAGTGGTCAAGATGGAAAAAGTTCTGCCACTGGATTAAGTGGAATGGAACCTGGCCAACTACAAAATAATAGACTGTAAACTCAAAAATTAAAATCAAACAAAATGAGAATTCTGAATTATTTAACAGACTTTACACTGGGCTTCACCTAAAAATATAATAGGTTTGAGACCAAAGAATTTGAATTTTTAACAAATGTCTAGGTGCACTAGTTGTCTATTGCAGCATTACAAATTCTCCCACATTTTAGTGGCTTAAAATGACCTATTCATTATGTCCTAATTTTTGTGGTCCAGGGTTCTGAGATCAGCAGTTCTGGCTCAGAATCTCTCATAAACTGGCAGTCAAGATGTTAATGGAGGCTGCAGGCATATGAAGACCTGCTTGTGCCCAATGGGTGTGGCTCAGTGGTAGAACGTCGACCCAGGAACCAAGAGGTCACTGGTTCGATTACCAGTCAGGCATATGCTTGGGTTGCGGTCTCCATCTCCAATAGACAGCTGATCAATGATTCTCTCATCACTGTTGTTTCTATCTCTCTATCCTTCTCCCTTCCTTTCTCTCTCTAATTCAATAAAAGCATTTAAAATAACTGGGGTCCCCCTCCAAGACTATTCACTCCCATGACTGGTAGCAAGAGTTGTTAGTTCATCACAAGGCAGACCTCTCCATAGGCCTGTCTCATGACATGACATCTGAGCTCCCCCAGAGTGGACACTTCAAGAGAGAACAAGCAGGAAGCCACAGTACCTTTTGAGACTAGTATCCAGAGTTGTACACCATGACTTCCACTTTACTCTACTCTTCAAGGCAGGTCATCAAATCCAGCTCACACTCAAGGGGAGGGGCTCCACTCCTTGAAGGAAGGAGTAGCAAGAAATTGTGGATATTGCAGAGTGAATACACTGGGTGTATTCCTGGGACTGCTTAAGAAAATCCCATAAACTGGAGGGCTTACACCACAGAAATGTATCATCTCACAGTTCTAGAGGCTGGAAATTCAAGATCAAGGTATCAGTGGAGCTGGTTTCCCCTGTGGCCTGTGAGGGAGAATTTGTTCCAGATCTCTCCCTTGCTCTGGCAGGCTCAGGTGGTCCATGGCCTGTGATGCGCATCTTTCTGTATCTTTACATCGCTTCCCTTCCGTACATGTCTGCCTCTATATCCATCTTCTACCAGTCATATTGTCATATTGATGAGGTCCCACCCTAATGACCTCATTTTAACCTGATTACTTCGGTGAAGACCTTGTTTCCAAATAAGGTCACATTAGGAGGTACTTGGAGGACTTCAATATATTTGGGGGAGAAGGACACAATTTCAGCCCACAATTCAGTCAGGTAATGAATGCTCTGCCCCTTCTGCAGGGACTTCACTTTTGAGGTTCACTGATCCAATCCCACCCTGGAACCGTATTACACTGATAACACATGTAGGTTTCAATCAACGAAAGGAACCAGCAAGTGTCAAAGAGTGAGTTTGCGGCAGGGTTCAGATAAGAACACTTAAAATTTTTTTTAATCCACATTTACATATTTTACATGAACCACAGCGCTTGGTCATCTTTGATCAAAAGTTGTCTGGAAAGCCCTAGCTGGTTTGGCTCAGTGGATACAGCAAACCTAATCAAGTGGGAAGCCAACAGTTTTGGGACTGCCACATTCATAAACTATGAACAGGTGAACATGGATGACTAGTTGGGACACCTGCGGAGACGATAGTGTGACCTGGCAGAGGTGGAAACCTGCAAGTCCTTAAAGTCTCAGAAAGAACGGCTCCTGTTGAATGGGTGGGAAACAGCAATTAATCATGAATATTATGGAATTGTGCAGCAGATTACTTCAGACTCAAGTCAGCAGAATAGAGCCCCTTGAATCCTGGAAAAAATGGAGCCTCGAAGCAGTTCATGCAGCATTACTGCTCGAACTGGGCAACCAGAGGAGGAAGTGTGCTAGTTTGAAGACCACGTACTAACCAGTCTCAGGCCATGCGGAGCCAGAAGCTGCAGCCACTGGCCTTCCCAGAGTTGTACACCGAGTTCCTGAGTGATGGCCAATCCTCATCTATCAGCCCGCCCCACACTGAGAAACCTGCCACTAGGGCTGGTGATCCAGGTCTTGTTTCTGTTGACTTATTGTTTAAATAAATCCCATTTGCGAATTGAAAAAAATGGTATAAATTCTGCTTCTACATACTTATTTTCTTGTTTCTACTTAAGTTTCAGCAATTAAGTTAAATATTATTTTACAATGTATAGAAACTGTTATTCAGAGATATCTATTTGGGGGGGGGGGGCTGGATGAAAAAAAAGTAAAGGGATTAAGAAAAAAAAACACCATATATATAACACAGACAGACACAACAGTATAGTGGTAGTCAGCAGATAGTGCGTGGGCCTGCAGACCAAAGGATCTTGGGATCGATTCCAATCAAAAGCACGTACCTTAGTTGAAGGCTCCTCACAGGCCCCAGCCCTCGTCACGGCTGGTACAGGAGGCAACCAATCTACGTATTTCTCTCACATCGATGTTTCTCTCTGTCTCTCCCTCTCTCTACTGCTTTCCCCCCACCCCCCAAAAAAAAAGTCAATGGAAAAAATGTTCTCAGGTGAGGATTAACAAAAATAAATAAATACAGAAAGAAAGAAAGAAAGAAAGAAAGAAAGAAAGAAAGAAAGAAAGAAAGAAAGAAAGAAAGAAAGAAAGAAAGAAAGAAAGAAAGAAAGAAAGATAGATCAGAAAAGGAGAGCAATCATTGGCTCAAAATTCAGACCATGAAGTCTGATGTTTGAATTAAAAAAAAAAGGCATCTATTTTTGCTGTTAATCCTGGCCTGAGGACTGATTTTTTTTTTAGAAAGTGTGGAAGGGGTAAGGAGAGACAGGGAAACATTGATGTGCTAGAGGCACATGGACTGGTTGCCTCCCCCATCTACCCCTGTCCAGTTGGGGTTGGGGATCAAGCCTGCAACCAAGGTATGTATGAGCCTTTGACCAGAATTGAACCCAGGACTCTTCAGTTCGCAAGCTGATGCTCCATCCACTGAGCCAAACTGGCTAGGGCAAGACATCTACTTCAATGACCTATACTTTGGTTTCTGGGCCTCTGCTAATTTGCTCTAAGTTTCACTATCCTACAAGGTAACAAAAGAACGAACAGAGTGAGCTTTTTGTACAACTAAATGCATCCCATTTAAAGGACTGATCTTTATTCTGAGATCATGTCAGTTCTACCTTTCTAATGTTGAAATGTTCTGCGTTTTAAGAAATGATAGTAGATGGCATCTATTTACTTGACAACGTTGTATGACCTCGGATTTTCTGGGTATGTCTGTGTTTTCATTTTACTGGTCCTTCCTATCTAACTGTTGAGAAATCCTTTCAGAGCCCTTTCCTACGTCATTTGCTCTATATTCCGTGTGAAACAACAGGAGTTACTGCCGGGAGGACACACGTCCCAGAAGGGAAAGCATCCTCCTCCCTAGTTAACACCTACTTCACGGGAGGCATGGTACCAACACTGTGGGGAGTGACGCGCAGAGATGAGGCAGCATTTCGTCCTCCCCGGTGTTCGGTTTGGCCTGTTGGCATTATCACCGTCAAAAAAGCAACGTGAGCTGGTCTGGTGGTTGCTGGAGCAGGTGGCCACCCTGGGCCCCGGGGAATGAGAAGGGTGGAGAAGGGGAAACCCACGCTAGGAAGGCAGACAGGAAGAAAGCCTGGAGTCCGCGCTTGCGTGCGGAAGGCAGGAGCCACGGAGCGCGGGGCAGACGGACTGGAGGGCGGGTGGCGCGGGCTGCGGTTCGGGGAGGGCGGGAAAGGTGCAGCCGGGAACCCGTGAAGGCAGCAAGCAGCGAGGAGACCCCGGCAGCCACTGCGCTCCGGAGGCGCCGAAAGGACCAGCGGAGGAACCTCCCGGGCAGGGTCCACGTGGGCAGGGGGCGGGGCCACACACGCCCTGCGGGCCCACGCGCCCAATCAGCCGCCTCGGCCCGCAGGACACGCCCCCTGTCTCTTCTCGCCGGAGCTCCCCGACCACCCCTGAGCCGCCCCCGGCGCCTGCGCAGTCCTCTGGCCCCGCCCCTCGCCCGCCGGCCGGCCCTCCGCAGCCAAGATGGCGGCCTCCTGTGTGTCCTGTGGTGCCGCGGTTTCCCGGCGGCTCCTTCTGCGGCCACCGCTTAGCCTGGCCCCGAGACAAGTCCTGTGGAAAGCCGCGGAGCTGCAGTCAGTTCCCGGGCCCCAGGTGAGGCCTCAGATGCTGTCCCTATAGCGTGGGGATGGTAGCCGGCCTGCTGCCTCGCGGGCCCCACCGGCACCGGCGGGGCTCAGGTGCTTGGTGGTGAGTTGTGAGGTTAGAAGCGGGTGTTGGGCCAGGGCTACTCTGGAGGTTGTGTCAGGTTCGCAGGGTGTGTGAGGCGAAGTCACCTGGGGCGCCGCCCGCCCGCCCACTGCGTCCCCGCGGGGCGCGGGGCTGGCCCGGCCCGGAGCGGGGAGGGAGGCCGTGCCGCGGGAGCGAGTGCGCCGGACTCCGTGACCTGCCAGGCCCGGTGGGGAGTCACTCCGTGGGGAGGAGAGTGAGCGTAAAGTGCTTGCATCCGTGCAGTTTGTTTTCTGACATTCCCCAGAACGCTGGAGAGGTGAAGGCAGAACCTGCCCAGTGCATGAATCCCGGGGCAGCAGGGAGGTGGGTGAGGGCGTCCCCTGACAGGGGGTCCGAGAGGGAAGGAGACAGTTTAGTTTTGGTGTCAGGCGCCTGTGGGTGTGCACGGGGAGGTCCCGGGAGGCCCGCCGATGGGGAAGTCTATTCCAGAGGAGAGCTGGATTGCAAGCCTGTGCTGCCTGGCGGGGTCTCCGAGGAGAGGGAGCTGAATGGGGAATGAACAGGACAGGGCCCTGAAGGACAGACAGTCAACGGAGAAGAGCCCCAATGGACTGAGCAGGAACAGAGGCAAAGCAGTGTGGTGTCGTGGAAATGGGAAAACGTTTCGAGGAAGGAAAGTGGTTAACTTACCAAATGTTGTGAAGTCAAGCACTAAGATCTAAAAACTATGTTGAAAAAGAAGACTATCATATTTCTATCATTTTAAATTACTTTAACCTAAATCAACGAATATATCCATATATCCACCAACCTTTATTTTTCTTATTGGAAAATATTCTGAGAGTTATTTTTTCTCGCATCTCTTTGAGTATAAACACAAGTATCTGAAAAGGACTATAGCATACTGAATATTAGAATATTTTTATGCATTAGCACTGTATGTGTGTGCCATGTGGGGGGGTTGCTAACTTTCTTTCCCCTGGAACCCCTGAACCTGTGTGTCTTCCATGGTTTTCTCTATGTTCTCTTAGTCATATGCAAACACACATGCATATGTATACTTTTGAAAAAATGGATCTCATTATATTTTTGCTTCTCTGAACTTACATATATAGTAGAAATCCCTCCAAGTCATTATGAATCCAACTGCTGTCTAATATTCTTGGTGTGAGTGTATCAATGTTACTTTATCATTTGATGGGCATTTGCTTAGTTTCCATTTTCTTCCACTAATAAAGTAATCAGTAAACATCCTGGTACAGTTCTTAGGTACTGATGGATGCTTTCATTTCTGTGGGAGAGAGTTCGAGTTTTGAAGTTATTGCTGCAAAGGAGGTATACATCTTAAATTTTTTGCAATATATGTTTTTATTGATTTCAAAGAGGAAGGGAGTTAAAGGTAGAAACCTCAGTAATGAGAGAGAATCATTGATTGGCTGCCTCCTGCGCGCTCCCTCCTGTGTATTGAGCCCTCAGTCAAACCATGACCTCCTGGTTCATAGGTCGATGCTCAATCACTGAATCACACTAGCCACTGCATCTTAAATTTTAATAGATATTCTTACGTAGCTTTTAAAAAAAGCTGTAGCAGTTCACATTCCATCATTAAATTATGAGTGTACCCCTTTTTCTATCTTCTTTAGGTATTACTCTGTTTTCAGTAAGATGGGTGACAGTTTCTCCTTGTTACTGTAATTCTCATCTCCCTGATTATTCTTGAAATAAAGCCTTTTTAATCCATATGGAAAATGTTTACTGAGCACTTTACTTGAGCCAGACACTGAAATAAATAAAAACCAAACAAATACCAGACAGTATGGCCCCTTAGCAATCCTCAGATTCTTGAATACCACCGCAGCACGTGTTTATCCACGAGGCACAACTCAGATACGATAGAAGGCTTAACTGACCCCATCAGACCCTTAATGGTTTATATACACTAGAGGCCTGGTGTACGAATCTGGAGGGTGGGGTCCAGCTGGCTGGTGGGAGGGGACACAGGAGGTTGGTTGGCTAGCCCTGCCCCCAATCCGGGTGGAGGGAGCTGATCAGGGCTAGGGCCAGCTGGGGGAAGGGGGAGCAGGCTATCGGTGGGCTGGCCATGCCCCCTGGTTGAACTCCTGGTCAAGGGGACAATTTTCATATTAGGCTTTTATTTTATAGGACTAGAGGCCTGGTACACGAAATTTGTGCATGGAGGGATGGGTCCCCTCAGCTCAGCCTGCACCCTCTCCAATCTAGGACCCCTCAGGGGATGTCCAACTGCCAGTTTAGGCCTGCCAACCTCCTGTGGGCACTCCCCCCAGTTGGCCTGCCCCTGATCAGACTCTCCCACCCCGATCAAACGCCCTACTGGCCAAAGCTGCCCCCTCACCCCCTTCCCTCCTTGGCCAGCCCAGCCCCTGATCACCCCCACCCCACACCTCAATAAGGGGTAGGGCTGGCTAGCCAACTTCTGAAGCTCCTCCCCCAGAGCAGCCTCGCCCTCAGTGAGTACCCACCACCCTGATAGGCCTGCAGCCCCTCCCCCTGGCTGGCCCTGCCCTCAATGGGCTCTCACCACCCTGATCAAGCGGTGAGGTGCTAGCAGGCTGGAGGTGAGGTGCTAGCAGGCTGGCGGTGAGGTGCTAGCAGGCCGGCGGTGAGGTGCTAGCAGGCTGGAGGTGAGGTGCTAGCAGGCTGGAGGTGAGGTGCTAGCAGGCCGGCCGTGAGGTGCTAGCAGGCCGGCCGTGAGGTGCTAGCAGGCCGGCGGTGAGGTGCTAGCAGGCCGGCGGTGAGGTGCTAGCAGGCCGGAGGTGAGGTGCTAGCAGGCTGGTATAAGGAGTGAGTAGGCAGGTGGTTAGGAACAAGCAGGTAAGTGGTTAGGAGCAAGGGATCCCAGACTGTGAGAGGGATGTCAACCTGCAGGTGGCTATCCCCCGAGGGCTCCTGGACTGCACGAGGGTGCAGGCTGAGCTGAGGGACGCCCTCCTCCAGTGCACAAATTTCATGCACCAGGCTTCTACTATATTATAGGCAATTTACAGTCATTGTGTCCTATAAAGGTTACCCATGAATTCTTAAATCATGTATCAATATAATTTAGGAATGCTAATTTTGCTTTCTGTAATATTTATTATTTATAGTAAGGAAAAGCAGTAGACCAATTTCTGTTTTGAAAAATATTATTTAAAATCTTGGTAATATTTCCTCTTTTATTTTCTTCTAAGCACTTTCTTAGTGCTTGAACTTTCCATTTTTACTGAGCCGGTATGGTCTTGTTGGATTGAACTGTCTGCCAGAATGATCGATGGCATTTGGTGGCTTAGTCCTTGTATATTTTGGTTTTATTGTAGACATGTTGCTGTCTTTGTTTTTCTCATCTCTCACCTTATGGGCTCCTGAAGGTTGTAATATTGTATATTTGTCCACATTTTCTTTAATTTGTATATGTCTTTAACTTTTCTTTTATTCCTCAAAGTATTTTTTTTTTGCCTTTCCTATTCAAATTAGCAACAGATTCTTTTTGATCCATTTTTATCCAGTTGAACAAATGCTTAATATTTCTCTAATACCATTAAAGTAGTGTGTAGCACTGGCATTTGGCCAAATTTGGGACATCACTGCTTTGTCAGGATGTGTCTGCTTTTTTGGCAACCTGCTGGATTAAAATTACAGTTGCCTGACTTGCTGATTATCTTTAAAAAGAAACATATCTGTCAAGTTGTATCAATACAATTCCATGAAAACAAGTCTGAGGAAAATTCTCTGCCATAGCTTCTCAGACGGAAATAGAACCTACAGAAAATTTTGTTGGGAGTTGTACTTAGTGGCAAAGCAGATACTCTCCAGGGATTTTTACTGTTCTCAGCTAAAGGCCTGCTCTGGTTGCTTGAAGCCTCATCTTACTTGATGGCTTGTACTGATGAATAATGGATGCCTTTGAATGTAAGTATTTTTTGTGTGAATTCATTGCTGAAATAATTCACAGCATTTAGTAAATATATTCAGTAGTCTGGTGCTGGTACTATGATGGCTTTGTAACTTACGTAGTCCTAATCTTCAGCAAAATGTACAAATGTTTTTTAAAAGGTCTTAAAGATTCTAAAGAGGTTGTTTGAAAAATAGCAAATTAGAACATGTTAAAAAAAAAAAAACCTTTATGAACAACAATAAACATTTTACAGATCTTTTTAAAGTCTCATTTATGTTAAAAGTACAAAAGCAGCTACCTCATGTCACAGACTCTAGAGAATAAAGACAAAAAGTAATTTTAAATATATATTTTTATTGATTCCAGACAGGAATGGAGAGGCAGAGAAAGAGAGAATTATCAGTGGTGAGAGAGAATCATTAATCAGCTGCCTCCTACTGGAGATCGAGCCTACAACCCAGGAATCGAACCTGGGACCCTTCAGTCCATAGACTGATATTCTATCCACTGATCCAAACCAGCCAGGGCAAAAAATAATTTTAAATTAAGTGAATAATTGAGTTTTCAAGCCAACAATCAATTCTTATTTGAGATGATGCTACAATGTAGGAACAAAAGAGGAACAGTGTGAAAAAGATAAAGAAAAGACAAAGGAATGTTTACTCAACAAAATGGAAGTTTTTAAAAATTATTTAACACTACCGAGAACATTTTTCTTAAATGTTGGGTGAGGGAGATTTCTGTGAAACAGATATGATTTAAATAAACTGTGAAGGAAAGAATTTTGAAGATGGACTGATGATATATAGTAAGAAGCTAAAAACTCCGAGTGACTGCAGAATTGGCACTGCAGAGAAAGGGGGAAAAACAGAAACCAAGGAGTAAATGTTTATAAATCATACAGAATGCAGAAAAAAAGGGATAAGAAATAAGACTGAGTATATATAAATATATATATATATATATATATATACACACACACACACACACACACACACACACACACACACACACTCTGAGTGGCCAGATTATTATGACCACCTGACGTTTGTAGGCAAATTAGCCATACACTGAATCGTACGGGATATGGAAGCATGAAGGCCTGTTCGAACACCTTCGCTGTCTGCAGTTACCAAGATAAAACATCTCTAATTTGCACAGGAACACAAGGATTGGACAAGTCATGGAAAAAGTATTGTGTTCTGATGAATTTTCAGGCATTGGAAAAGTCATATGTTCCGATGAATAATGTTTCCAGTTGCATCATGCAGATGGCAGAGTGAGAATTTCACGGAAACAGCATGAAAGCATACAATCCACATGCATGAGTACAACCCTTCAAGCTGGTGGGGCAGTGTTATGGTTTGGGGCATGTTTTCCTGACAGATTTGGGCCTTTAATGCATGTGGAACAACGTCTGAATAGCACAACATACCTAAGTACAGTTGCTGATCAAGTTCATCCTATCATGTTGATGGCGTATCCCAATGGAGATGGCTTCTTTCAACAAGACAATGCGCCATGTCACGGTGCTCATATTGTGCAGGAATGGTTTCAAGAACATGAGGGAGACTTTACCTTGCTGAGGTGGCCCCACAATCACCAGATTTCAATCCAATCGAGCATTTGTGGGACGAAGTTAAAAGAGCCATCAGACAGCAGGTTCCACAACCATCAAATCTCACAGGCTGGACAGTGCTATCCATCATGCATGGTGTCAGATTCCTCGCATCACCTTTCAGCATCTCGTGGCGTCAATGCCAAGAAGAATTGCTGCAGTGTTGAAGGCAAAAGGTGGCCCAACAAAGTCCTGATGGGGTGGTCATAATCTGGCCACTCAGTGTATATGCATGTATATATACATAATTGTATACACACACACATATATGTATATATATATACATATATGTGTGTATATATACGTGTGTGTATACATATCTGGGGGACAGAATAATAAGTAATTACTGTGATTGAAAAAAGAGAATAAGTAGGTGAAGAGCCAAAATCTACTTATTCATGGTTTGGCTCAGTGGATAGAGCGTCAAAAGGTCCCAGGTTCGATTCCGATCAAGGGCATGTATCTTGGTTGTGGGCACATCCCCAGTAGGGAGTGTGCAGGAGGCAGCTGATCGATGTTTCTCTCTCATCGATGTTTCTAACTTTCTGTCTCTCTCCCTTCCTCTCTGTAAAAAATCAATAAAATGTTTTTGTTTTTTTTAAGTAAGTGAAGAATTCATTGGGTATTGCTTTATTACTAAAGTTGGTAGGTTCTCCAACTTTAACATGTAAACATTTTATCAGAGACGTGGATGAAAATTAGTAAAATAAAAATAGGCTATGTACTGTCTAAATTGTCAGATCAAAAGATGGATTTTAAAAGGCACAGACCATATAGTAAAAGAATGAAAACAGGAAGGAAGCATAAAAAAATTAAAGATAAAATAAGATTAAAAATAAGACAATATCTATTAAAGCCCACTTAAATGGGATAATCTCATATTTTTTAAACACTCATATTGGGCGAAAAGAACAAATCCTAAAATGACTGAATTTTTTTAAAAATATATTTTATTGATTTTTTACAGAGAGGAAGGGAGAGAGACAGAGAGCTAGAAACATCTATAAGAGAGAAACATTGACCAGCCGCCTCTTGCACACCCTCTACCGGGGATGTGCCCGCAACCAATGTACATGCCCTTGACCAGAATCGAACGTGGGACCCTTCAATCCACAGACCGACGCTCTACCACTGAGCCAAACCGGTTTCGGCAAATGACTGAATTTAATAAAAAAAACAAGGGTAGTGCTAATGGGAGTTTAAAAGGGTTGCAGTACTGTGATCCAGTAGACCTGAGTGCAGGAGAGAAGTGTTGTGTGGGAATGGAACCCTTTGGAATTCTGAAGAGTACAGTCTGCGTTCAGATAAAACTGCTGAACTAAGTATTGCATTGAGTATACTTCTGAAAAAAACAAAGGAAATAAAAATGTAACTGGTGGAGAAAATTTGCACATAGTGTAAACCATTGCTGAACGGCCACTGAAAACATGTAGATTTCTTTGGAATTATCCCTGTGGCTAATATTCAGCATAAATAGCCACATACATTGTTGTTTTTACTACTCTTCCCCCACCCCCATTGCTCTTTCTACCCTTTACAACCATTCTTTGGATATGAAGTATGCAGTCCATCAAACCTATCACTTCTCACCCTGTAGACCATCTCATGACCTATTTTACAAAGAAAATAGTGGCCAGAAGACTTAAGTAACCTTACTTCACCTACTCACCCTCACCAACTATTTTGCTTCTTTGCATAGAAGAGATGATTCTCATTGGAACACTAACGCCTACCATTCCCCCTATGTGATTAACAGACCATATCTCCAGCTCAGATCTTTTCTCTCTCTCTCTCTCCCTCTCCCTCCCTCCCTCTCTCTCTCTCTCTCTCTCTCTCTCTCTCTCTCTCTCTCTCTCACACACACACACACACACACACACACACACACACACAGCCATCTGCCTCCTAAAACCATCATGCCCAAATGGAACACATCACTTTCCTCCCTAACGTTGTTCTTCCTCTAGCATTCATATTATGTCAGTGAATGGAGCATGTTCACTGGAAGACTTCTTTTCTCCTGAGGGTTGTGGTTGGTGATTGGTGGGAAGCATAAATTTATCTGTATTATGAATGGATTGTTTTAGCTATGGACAAAAACACTTGGCATATTATTTACAACACCAGTGTAATCATCGTTTTGGCAATGAACATTTGGAAGAATTACCTCTACTCTATGACTGTTATTTTTATTCCCCAAATTCATACCTTTTGCCATGTCTCCTGGGGCAGAAAAGCATTTTCACTTTGAGTATGGGAGGTAACTTTCTTCACTGTTCAAAGAAGACAGTGGAATCTAAAGAAAAGCTGGGGGAAGATGCTAAAACTGTTGGCATAGGGAATTGGTGCTAGTGGCATTTGACTGAGGAGAGGTAGCAGGGGTGTGAAAATAGGCTCTCTAAAAAAGGCAGCCTAACTAACACACGAGCCAGTTTGGTTCATGGTTTTACTCATCAGTAGTAACATTGTATCACCAGAGCATTGTAAAAAAGCGTAATTGTCTGCTCATAATACCAAGAGAAACTTAAATTGCTCTTCCTTCCTCATCAAAGAATAGCAAGGAACTATTTTATCACTTTTAATTTGTGAGAGTTTGGAACATAATTTTTCTATTAATTGGATATTTTCTATTAATATTTGTCCTCAATATTTTTTCCTTTTCTATTGTAACTGTGGTGACAAATTACTATAGAGTTATTTGAATCTTTGATTCTCAAAGGGTTAGGGAACGGATGAGAGAGGGATGGTGCTGGTGATATCTCACGTCTTTGTTTCTGTCTCTCTCTCTCTCTCTCTTTCTCTTTCCCTCCCTCCCTGATTCCTTCCCTATTTCTCCCTCTTCCTCCTCCTTCCACTCTCTCTGAAAAGCACTGGAAAAAAGTATCCTGTAGTGTGGATTAAAATACACACACACACACACACACACACACACACACACACACATCTCCCGAGTAGCTGAAGTTGATAGATCAGTATCAATGTGAGTAATATTTTTGTTTTTAACGTGTTGAAATGCTAGTCATTTAAACTACTTTGTAAGCACAACCTTAAAAAGAGATTTTTATATTTATGAAAAGGGAAATGAATGAGTTACTAAATCTGAATATTGCTTAAGAGTGTTTAGACTTGTTGAGGCAGCAGTCAGGTTGAGAACCACAGATTAAAGATTTTGAGAAAAGCCAGGACAAGAAAGATCTGTTCTGGTTCTCTCCAGTTGCTGAACGGCCACTGAAAACATTTTTCAGGTTCTTTTCCTTTGTTGCAGGTGAAATACTCATGCTGATGGGGGGAAGATTCCTATTGCCAGAGCATAAAAGAGTCACAGCAGCAGGTGTGATAGCATTACTGATAGTTTAAGAGGATGTGAAGGCCCTTATTTTTACAGAGCTTATTGAACCAAATTAATACTAAGAAATTGTCTTTATTTTTAGTGAAGCAGTTTCCTCATTGTGTCAATTTAAAATAAGGACCATGGAATAAAGTTTCAAACTAAGTTAAACCTATTCTTTTTAAGGCATTAAAGATAGGCTGCATTTGTACTCTAAACAAGGTGAGTGCCTATAGTCTACGGTACATGTCCCTTTACTCCCACTTCTACTGCTCGCTAGTTTCTGTCCGCTGGTACCTTTGCCTCTTTTTAAGCAAGTGGCATGGTCACTCTTCATCTCGTGTATGTCGGGTATCTCAAGTAGCCCTGGCCTGTTTGCTCAGTAGTTAGTGGCCCACAGACCAAAGGTTCCTGGGTTCGATTTCCAGTTAAAGGCACATACTTCAGTGTGGGTACCTCGGATGTGGTTAACTTGGCTGTGGTTCATCCTGGCTGGGCATGGGTGGGAGGCAGCCAGTCAATGTGTCTCTCACCTCTCTCCCTCTCTCCCTGCCCCCTCCCCTTTTTCCTTCCTTCCCTCCCTCCCTTTCACTTTCTCTAAAAAACAATGGAAAAAATATCCTACAGTGAAGATATATATATATATATATATATATATATATATATCACAAGTAGCTGAAGTTGATGGATCGGTATCAAATATGGATGTGGGTAGTGTTTTTGTTTTCATTGTGTTGAAGTGCTAATAATTTAAACTACTTTGTAAGCATAGGCTTTGAGCGGGGACAGTTCTAACACCTTCCTTCATAGGCCTTTTACCTTGTTTGCAGAGCCCTGCCAATTGAGTGCTATAATAAAGAAGACAACTGTTTGAATATCCTGTTTTATTTAGACAGTGGCCTACAGGTCATTGTTTAATATAATTTTCTTTCTTTTCTTTCCATATATATTTTCTGTTAGATATTGAGGCTAAAACATGTCACAGTTGTAACAACAAAGAAAAATGTTAAAGCCCCAAGACGTGAAACCTACACAGTGGATTTCATTAAAAAGCAGATTGAGGAGTTCAACATAGGGAAGAGACATTTAGCCAACATGATGGGAGAAGATCCAGAAACTTTTACGCAAGAGGATATTGATGTAAGTACAGTTGCTCTGTGGAAAGTAATTGCTGTAAACTTTTAGATGCTGAAAGCACTGTTCTTCAGCCTGAGCCCTTTAGGTCTGTGAAAATTTTAATCAAACTGTCAGAATAAGGAAAAGTACTTTGCAAGTTGAAACTATGGTTTCAAAGAGAGATGCTACTCTGTATTTGAAGCATAATAAAGTGTGGTGAGTTTTCGATTTCACTTAGAAATGGATGTTTTCCTTGATTTAAGGTCATAGGAGCTACTATGAATGCTTATACACAATTTGGATAATTTAAGACTACTGCAGGTAGTCTTAAATTTAGCTTTCTTACAAAATGATAAAACAAATGGTAATGGAAATAGAGTTAGATTTATAGGAAATCCCATAAATAAATCTAAGCCCCATGTTTGTTTGTTTTTAATCATCTTAACTATATATTTGAATTTTCAAAGAAAGGGCATGTCCAAGTGATTTGAGAATAGGTTATGATGCTAGTCACATGCCATTCTTGAATTATAATCCTGAGAAAAGTAGTAATAATATTACTTGTTTTTTTAGGGTTTTTTTGTTTTGTTTTGTTTTGTTTACTTTTTACATTAATTGATTTGGATGTTTAACTTTGTTTCCTGGAATAAAGCCCACTCTATCAATATGGATAATAATTTTTTATGTGTTTCTGGATTAGGCTTGCTGTCATTTTGTTGAGTTTTACTTCTAATTGATACTGGTCTATAGTTTTAATGTCTCTGTCTGATTTTGACATCAGGATAATATTGGCCTCATAGTATGAGTTGGGAAATGATCTCTTCCATTTTTAGAAGAGTTTGTGAAGAATTGGTATTAAATCTTTTTTAAATATCTGGTTGAATTAATCAGTGAAGTTATCTGGGCCTGGCAGTTTTGTGGGGAGGATAAAACTTTTTTAAATTACTTTTAAAAATTTTAAATTACTGTTTGCTTTATTTTTCTTTAATCCTCACCTGAAAATATGTTTTTATTAAATTTAGAGAGAGATGAAGGGAGGGGAGAGGGGGAGAAACATCAATTGGTTGCCTTCCATATATACCCTAACTGGGATCAAACCCGAAACTGGGTATGTGCTCTGACCGGGGATTGAACCTCGACTTCAGTGCAGGGGAGGACATTCCAACCAATTGAGCCACACTGGCCAGGGCTTATTGTTTGGTTTTTAAATGGTCCTCTCCTCTCTCCTCTGTCCTCTGTGCTCCTGAGTTCTCTGCAAGATCCCACTATCAAACTGACTTGACCCGCCTTTACAGCCTTTTGGGATGTACAGATGGCATAATTAGCTCACCGAGAGAAACAGAATCAGTCAAGAGTTTGAAATTCTATCTGAAGATATAAACATTTTCACATCCTAAGTATAAAAATGAATTAGGTTGTTTGGAATGGTTAGTTCATTGTTTGGATATTTTATCAGAATATTAGTTTGGAATGTTATAATTATTTTCATGAGAATTTAATTTTTACAAAGTAGACATGATCTATAATTTAATTCAGGTAACTTATTAAAAGTCTTGGCTCACCGTATGTATAATGTTCATGTAGGTAAATTAGGTGCCATTGTATTTAGATTAAACCATTTATTCTTTTATATATCAGAAAGTTTTTTTTATACTGCTTATTAACAATTGCTAAAATAATGATAGCAAAAACCATCTAAGAAATGAATTTAAGTAAATATGTTTAAGATTTAAAATCTCTCCCTGGCCAGTGGTTAGAGTGTCAGCCCATGCACCAAAGGGTTATGGGTTCAATTCCTGGTCAAGGGCACAAACTTGGGTGTGTGTGTCTCTCTCCCCCCTTCCCTTTCTCCTCCCCTCCACTGGCTCTTAAAAGCAGTGGGAGAAAATATCCTCCAGTGAGTATTAGCAACAACAAAAAATGTTTTCTTAAGTATCTATTTTCATATATGAAAATATCTTTAATTTTTTTGTTAAGATGTTTAAAATAGACAGACATTGGTGTTTCCATCTGGAGTATACTTTTTATATTATTTAGAGAAATCTTAAAGGATTCTGTCATTCAGTCAGAGGCAATATGTTTAGTTCTGGTTTTTAAAATATAGAATTGTTTTCCAGAGAAGACATGTTAAACATCACTATGTAAATGTAGATGATAGCTATATGGTGAAAGTAAGTTGATGTAATTTGTGTCATTGTGCTAATAGAATATAACTTATAAAAATCTTTAGATTTAGCACAAAAAAAAAAGTAATGAAATCATGAATTAATATGAAAAAATCTCCAATTGTTTACATATAAAGAATCTTCTTAAATGAAATTGAATTTCTTGAATTGTGAGGAATACAGAACATGTGCAGTGGATTTTTTAAAAATAAGTTCATTGTTGTTGAAGTGATGTTGTAGGAAAATGCAAAACCTGGGATGAGGAGATTTTTTTGTGGTGTCACTAACCAACACTGTGATATTAGCAAGTCACAGCATTCTGCACCTGTTTTTTGGGTCTCTAAAGTAATACTAGCTGCTTGCCTAACTAATATAGGAACGTGAGATTAATGCAATGTGTTAATGAATAAATAAAATCTACCATAGCCTGAATCACTTTCTAGTTTTTTAATTTCCTTTGCAACACAAATCTTCCATGCCATCTGACACTGAATGTTGGGGAGAATAATCTGAAGTACCTTTGAGTACATTGATTCATCACTGAGTGACATAAACTGGAGGCTGTGTTGTATAATCGGTTGGTGTTTTGTCTCACCTCCCTGTCTAAAAGCCCGTGAGAAAATGACTGGTGTCATTTTCCTGACACCAGTGACCCGATTCTGCTGTGCTAGACCTTCCTCAAGCGATGGATCTGCTTCACGAAGTCTCACGTATTATATCAATTAACTCTTGGCATTTTATTAAATTTAGTGGACCCTCATTGGCATCTGAGTAGATATGAAAGCAAAAAGGACAGTGACAACCGTTACCACGGCATTAAAATTATACACCTATTATGGTTCCTATTTTCAAAACTATTTTTGTAAGATGTTTTGACTGTGTGTATAACTTGAAAGACATTATACTGATGGGTCTTATTTAATTTCCATACTAACATAATGTTTAATTATTTCTAAACACAAAAATAAATGGTTTGATATCCAAAATCAGGAAAATACTTAAGCCTCCAGGAGTCTTTGGAAGAGCATTGCAATTACTGGTATATAGAATTTATAATGCTTTGTACAATGTGTTTGGCTTTTAACATATAAATTAAAATTAGGTTCAATAATTTTTCTTTTATTTAATCTGATCATGGAATTAGATATTCTATAGAATGGAATTTTTCCCAAAAGGGAAACCTAGTTTTAATGATTTTTAATGAAAAACTGCCACCACTTACTAAATATCACTTATACATGTGCAGGTTGCTGTCTGGGAGCCTGATACACTTTATCACATTTAATGTTTATAAAATCCATAAGAGGTAGTAAGTATTCATTATTGAAGAAGCCAAGGCTATATACAAGGTCTTTCTGAACACAAAAGCTATTTTTTTATACTTTCGAAGATTATTGTTTTGGGTAACATTTTCTAAGATAAGTTGCAGTTTCCTCAGCCTTATTTGTAGAATTTAGTGAGTATAACTTTATCTTACAGTGCCTCAGGATTTTTCTTTATAGTACGGTTGTTAAGCTGTGATACCCGACTGTGGCTCATGGTGAATGTTTGTTCCTGTACTGAATGGCCTGCCTATGCTTTATTCTGGATCCTGACATCTCCTTTCCTGTCAAAATGTTCATGTATATGTGCCTGCCCTCTGCCTCTGGCCTCTCTCATGACTTCCAACCTTCTGGCATAACTAAACTTGTTATGTAGGTGAATTAAAACTAAGGGCCATTGGCCTCAGCATAAGGACCTATATGTCCTTCCTGTAAGTAAAATCGTGAATTTATGTCAGCTATTTCTCCTCTTCATAGGCTTTTTTGTTGTTAATTTCTTTTTTTCTTTTTTTTTCTTTTTTTTTTAATATATTTTATTGATTTTGTATAGAGAGGAAGGGAGAGAGATGGAGAGTTAGAAACATCGATGAGAGAGAGTCATCGATCAGCTGCCTCTTGCACATCCCCTACTGGGGATATGCCCGCAACCAAGGTACATGCCCTTGACCGGAATCGAACCCAGGACCCTTCAGTCCCCAAGCCGACGCTCTATCCATTGAGCCAAATCGGTCTCGGCTTGTTGTTGATTTCTAAGCTTACAACTTTGTTCCAGAAGATTGAACTTGAATAGAATTCTGGCCTCTGGCCTGAGTGTAGCGTATATAACTTAAGTCTGAAAAATTGTATTTAGCTAATCTTACATGCTAGTGTATCCTTAACTTAACAAAGCTTTAAAAAGAGTTCAGACATGGGTTCTTAAAATAAAAAAAAAATCAGATACAATTTTATGACTAAAAATAATTCTGCTTGTCACTGTTGCTATTTACTTTAAAGTTACATTTTTTAGAAGATTTTAAATTATTAAACCTATAGCTTGTGTATCTGCTACAGTTTTGTTTTTTTGTGTTTGTTTTTTGTTTTTTGCAGAATTTGCTCTATTTAATGCTCAATCTTGGTATTAAGTTTATATAAAAATATTTTTACTTGGCAAAATAACAAATTAGCTAAAAAGAAATTGGTCACGAACAGGTATAGATTTTCTCCATTTCAAAAAGCTTAGTTTTTGCCTGATTTTTTTGAAGTGTATTGTAAAAAAAGAAATCCCATATTGCTCTTTCACAGTACACCGCTGTGGTGTTACTGATCACCTTCAGAAAACCTAATAAGAGAAAACACAGGTCCCTCTAACAATGAGTAGTGTATATGGCGTCTTGCTGAAAGTGCTTAAAATACAAGCTAAATATTTTGAAATAGATCTTAATACAGTAGTTCTCAACTCCTGTTCTGTTAACCGTTCACTGGTAACTGCCAAATGCTGATTAGTGTATATATAAATATTTTTGGCTGAACAGTATATATTACTATGAGAGGGAACCTG